AAAAAAAAAAAAAAAGGAAAGGGGCTTTGTTAGGAGATTGTAAGGAAGTGAAGGAAAACTAGTACTCTTAGGGAGAGGGCGGATGTTGATCAGAGGTTAGTGTTCTCAATATGTACTATTTATGATTTCTCTGAAAGGAATTTTGAGGGATTGTGTGATTTTGAGGAAATAGCTACTTTAGCTTTTTCTTATCGGCTATAGGGCGACCATTTTTAGTGGTCTTGCCATAAATGAAGTTTGTTAATATAAAAGGGAATATTTCTGGCAGTCCACTTCAGACTGAAATGATCTGACGTTTTTTTTATTGTAACTCTACATTTAGTGCAAGTTTGCAGATTTTATGTAACACACCTTAACCCGACTCTAAAAAGGATATGCAAGAAGTCCCCTTCGTAGCTTGAATTTTATTTTATTTACTGGGATTAGTGATTTTCCTCTTAACGGTACTCGGCACATTTTGTATGGAGACTGAAAATGCAGTTGTGAACTTTTTGTAAAGTAGTTGGTTCCATTTGAAAGAATAATTCAACATTTTTTGGGGGAAAAACGAGATTGATACCACTTGCACAGTAAATGTAAAGCTAATACGAGCAGCTGGTTAGCCTAGCTTAGCATAAAGACTTGCAACAGCGGGAAATGGCTCGCCTGGCTCTGTCAAAGTAAATCCAAAAGCCTACCAGCACTTCTAAAACTTGCCTATTTACTCTGTTGATTAATCTGTGCAAAGTGTAAACAATGAAATATTCTGTAGCACCTAACCCTCCCATTTATCCACAATGTCATGTTTTTGCGATTCACGTTTTTGTATTGAACAAATCAATCTTAGATATATTGTGCTGAGTGAGCTTTAGAGGTGATGGTGGGCAGATTTCTTAACTTTTGACAAGCAGTGCTAACTGATCCTCCCGTTTCCTGTCTTTATACTAAACTAATTCAATCAGTTCAGAAATGAGAGTGGTTATCATCTTCCTCTATCTTATCATGTAACTAAAAATGTCAAACTATTCTTTAAGGTCATTGTAGCCACACTTGGGGTTTGCTGTTAGAAAGTGAAGTTTATGTGGATGTAAACATCTGTTGAGTGTAAACATTTCGACGTGTTACACTCCACCGGGTGGTTTTGTTTGTTTTCTTTTCCACTTGGGTTTTAGCTTCTGAAGTGAAAGAAGTTGCACTAATGTTCTGACAAACAAACGGCCCCATGTAATGATTCAAGAGGCCAAAATGCTCCGGTCAGTGTTTATCAGTGCCTTCCCCGCAGTGACATAGATAGGATGAAAGTAAAGCCAATACCACAGAGGGACTCACTCACTGACACCGTGTGCTGCCATGTCGAGACCCTGTGTCTCACCAAGCCTTCATGTACCCTTACTACCATAGAAATGCATTGTTTGATGTTGTAGGAGAAAGTAAAGATATTTTTTTTCCCATGTTTTTTTCTCCCTCATCTAAATATTCATGTAGTTATTTAATAAGGTTTTAATGGATTTGTTTGAACTGTTTGTTTTCTAAAGAAGAGGTCAATAAAACTGAATGAACGAGACTTTTTTTTTTGTCTTTACTACACGCTCCAGTACGGAAGAGGATTAGGGCCACATTATTATTTTCTTTGGGAGGATTTGAAAAAAATGTTGTTTTTTTTTGTTCTGAGAAAAAAGTCAGAATTCTGACTTTAATCTCAGAATTCTGACTTTTTTCTCAGAACAAAAAAAAAGTGTTTTTTTGGGAGAAAAAAAATTCTGACTTTAAAGTCAGAATTCTGAGAATAAAGTTCGAATTCTGACTTTTTTCTCCCAACATTTTTTATGTTTTTTTGTTCTGAGGAAGAAGTCAGAATTCTGAGAAAGTCAGAATTCTGATTTCTTTTTTTTCTCAGAACAAAAAAAAAACGTTTTCTTTTCAAATCCTCACAAAAAAAATCATATGGCCCTAATCCTCTTCCGTACTTCAGCAGTGAAACCGGTTCCTACGTTATTTTGGTCTAGAATAATTGGAAATTGTATTCTAGAAATGCATTATTTTAAATTCCTTCTACCATAGACTTATTTATATAACTGTCAATAATAAATGTGCCTTTTTTTTGTTATTGTTAAACCAGTTTTTGTATAGCTTCAGTAAAATGTAATTAGATTTTTCAGTCATTCAGGTTCTATGTCCTCGCGGTGTAAATCCTCTTCTAACTAGACAGCTGAAATAAAAGCTTGCAGGACTCTGAACTGTAATGTTTTAGCACCGTTCATTTTTTATCACATCTGAGCTCATAAGTTTGTCTCTGTACATGCAGGGAGGAGGAAAGTTGTCCAAAGGTGCGAGACAACATTATGTAACTGTTAAAACAGCCCGCAGGCCCCAGGTTTACAAGAAGCTTTTTTCTTTATCTTTGTTTGGCACAGGCATTTCTTTAGGTCAGCTAGTGTTAGGTTTCTAGCATAGAGTAAAACACACAGTTCTGTAAATGAATATATCTAATTTTACTTCAGAAAGTACAGTTTCAATAGTGTTTCAGTGCAAGAGACATCAACAACTCTTTTCCATTAGACACATCTTATCATTATATACATTATTATTCTCAGATATTATCCTCCACAATAATAAAACCACTCCCTACTATTATTAAGTTACAATACAATAGTGCAAGTAATAAAAACAATGGCCAATTTAAACACATTAGCATCAGGTGATCTTGAAGTATTTATAGCAGCAGAAATGTGAGACCATGAGCAAATTACTTTAGAGAGTAATATAGAAACGTATAACAGAAGGAAAAAATCCATGAGTAGTTCATTTGGAAATAGTTAATTCTTCCTGATATTAAAGTGTTGTCTACTTACACTGAATGAAAGGCTTTTATTAATCCAGTGAGAAAGGGTGGATCCAAAATGTTACCGGCGTCCGGATTCCTCCTCCAGTATTCGCTGTCGGCATTTCTCTCTGAGTTTATCGACAGTTCCCATCGACAGGGTCCCAGGTTCGGTAAATATCTTCTGTAGAAAGAGAATTTGAGATAATGTCACGCAATTGATTCTAATTATTCCTTTACAGGAGTATACACTAAGCAGTGTTTACAAAAAGTCTGTAATTTTCCCCACCTTAAAAACTCAGTCAGAATAAGCCTCATGTAAACACCTCATCTATAATTACCAGGCTCTGGATAAACTCCTATCCCAGGGGTGGCTTCAATTTGTCATAATCTGAAAAAACTGTGAATATTTTACATGACACCTCCTTTTCTGATCATAATACTTTTGGTAAATGTCTTCTCCTCAGTGCAACCTGACTTCTCAGGGAGGCCAGGCTAATTCAGCGTTTTAGTACATTCTACATTATATTTATCCAAAGCGACTTACATACTCAATACTGTGGGCAATCCCCACAGGAGAAATTTAGGGGTACAGTGTCTTACCCAGGGACACAACGACATGCTGACTGCAGTGGGATTTGAACCTGTGACCCCCTGATCCGAACACCTACGCACAACCCACTACGCCACACACCTCCCTTTCTACTGTTGAATTAAAATGAACCAACCATTATGCAAAGCACTTAGGATCTGAAACAGTTACTGCAACAACATTGATCATTTTAAATTATTTTTCTTTTAAGAAAAAATTCCAGAAATATGTTGATTTTTGCCTCTTGAATGTCAATTCCTGGTTTTACATATTTTTTTTATATAGTAGAAATTAGATTATATTTGTATTTGGAGATGTTACCTGGATAAAACAAGACATTTTGAAATGGGCTCAGTTTACTTTCGTCTGAATGTTTCACTATTTGTGTACATACAGTATTCTAGACCAAATTATAATTAGATCCATTGTCAAAGTATTCACCAGAATAATCCCTTATGTAAAAAAGGGATTAAAGCAGGTGGACCTTTTGCTAAAGTTTGCCAGTGGAGGAGAGCTAATGCTCAAACATCTCTTATCCCATGTAACAACAGCCAATGATAATGTCCTTTCTCATCGCACCTGCATGAAGGTGTGGCAGTCCAGAGTGAAAGCTCCGCAGGTGATTTGTTTGAAGCACTCGCACACATCCGTTAGTGAACGAGCGCGAAGGATCTCCGGCTGGTGGTGAATGATGAGAGTCAGAGCAACACGGAAAAGAACCTTTGAGCCCTCGTAGAAAAGACAATCCCAGACCCGCAGAACTGTCTGTACGAACAATGAACAAGACAAATTAGTGCTTCGACATTGCTTGAATTCCTTATTTGTCTATACTATTAAACCCCAACTTTTCCTCACCTCAATTGGGAGTACGTCGATGTAGAGGCAGATGAACCAACGAGACACCACCAGCGTCCAAATGCCGGGATACTGGTCCATTAACTGTCCGACTGCAGGAGATTTAGCCTTCACCAGCTCCCCGAGAACCTCCTGGTCGGTCTTCAGACCCATCATGGCCGGACTGTAGAAATCTACAATATCCACAAAGTATAGGAGTTACTTTTATTTTGTTTTGCTCATATCTCTACTTTATAAATCTGATATCAAATTGAAATGTTTTAGATGGCTGTAGTAGTCCAGAATGAATTTTCAATGTGGAGCTCCACAAGGCTCCAACCTGGGTCCATTACTATTTAGCCTTTTTTATTACAATGAGAAGGCACAC